AATTGTGGAGATGGCCAATTATATCATTCAAAAGAATATAAAGTTATGAAGGAAGGGAAAAAAGAGACAGCAGCAGCTTTGTGCCTTATGTCTTCATTAATTCATGCTACATAAATGTCACTCTTGCCATTCAATCTTGTATATATTAAGTCTAAACAGTATTCATGCGTAGACCAGAGAGTAGACTGTTTACACTTTCTTTCTCCTGCCTCCAAAAAGGCTCATAAATTGCTCTGTGATGAGCACTGAAAATGGACCCCTTATGTATCTAATTCTTCATCTTAATAACAATAAGTGCAAAGGTCCATAAATACAATTTTAATTAACAGCTATGTTGTGATGCTTAGAAATAGACCATAGCCTCTTTGAATCTGTTGGCCTTCTCATGAAGATTTTTGTTTTTCCCAGAGAGTCAAAATTAATTAATGTCCTTACAATCTATTCAGCAGTCCATCATCTCAGAGATGCCTAAACAGGCTCAATCAGCCATATTAGTATATCAAGAATGATATAATCGGGCTGCTTTGAAGAGAGCACTCTGTAAAATGTACAGTCTCAAGTAGTGATTAGTAAGGAGGATAATAAAGTATTCTGTCAGGATTATTGCTTTTTTTTTAATCTGAAGGGAACACTGCTTGTATATAACATTACCTAAATAACCAGATTCAAAACTTTTCATGTGGTCTTTAGTGAACATATATAAGCTCTAAAAGTTCAAAAAAGAAAATTAATACTCCTATTAATAGTCTCCAATGTTTCCATTAAAAGGCATCAAGTGATCACTCGTGTTTTTCTTTTTGAACAGATGTAAACTTTCTCATATCTATTGAATATACTTTTATCTTGTTCTCAACTGAGCCTGCAGTAGTTTTTGTATCATTAGTATTATTATAGCAGAAGACATGCTCTGTAGTTTTCAAACACTGGTATAGGATAAGGGAAGATTGTGGCAGATAATATCTAATGCACTCAGAGGCATTTGTGTCCACACGTTATTGTCTACATCTTAGCAGAATAAATAAAAATTGGCTTATTTCCCATAATTTCTCAAAATCTCATATATTTATCTTCAAAAATTATAGAAGTAAAAAGTTCCATCGAAATGTAAATTCACTGTTGTGATATCATAATCAAGAAAATAATATGTTTATAATCAGAGTTTATATATTTTGATACAATCAAAAAGTAAAATACTATAACTTAAACCATGCTGTGCAAGATATTTTGCCACATATAAAGTTGTTTATACTATATTTTTAGTACTACTAAATCCACTAGAAACCTATTTTTCTTTGAAAATATAGTATGAACAAACAGCTTGTCAATGGCTTTATCACCACTCTGAGGTTACTAGAAAAGTTTTTTATGCTTATTTATATTCTAAAAAATTTTAGAAAAAAGTATATTATTTAGTAATGTAAAATTAATCAATAGAAATATTGAAGAAGAAAATAAACATTAAAAGTGACAAGCAACAGTTCAGACCTCCAAATCTTAAATATATCCACCACGTTTTCCAGAAACACACAAATATCCTACCACTATGTATGCTGGATTTTCTTTTCCTGTTATTTGCTGCTGCTGCTTCTGCTTCTTTTTTTTTTTTTTTTTTTTTTTTTTTTTTTTTTTTTTTTTTTGGAGACAGAGTCTTGGTGTCTTGGTGGAGTGCAATGGAGTAAACATGGCACTGCAGCCTCAGCCTCATGGGCTCAAGTCATCCTCCTACCTCAGCCTCCTGGGTAGTGGGGACTACAAGTATACCACCATGCCTGGCTAATTTTGTATTTTTTCTTTTTTGTACAGATGGGGTTTTACCATGTTGCCCAGGCTGGTCTCAAACTCCTGGGCTCAGGCAATCCTTCTTCCTCAGCCTCCCAAAGTGCTGGGATTATAGGCATGAGCCACTATGTCCAGCCTTGTTCCTTTTTATACTGAGTTTATTTCCCCTCTTCTCTTCTTTAACACTGTCACTTATTCAAGCAATCTGTCAATAAACAAGTATGTATCATTTTATCCTTTCCTCCATGCTTACATTCATTCACAGAAACATCTATGTACAGATTTATACATATGCACAAATAAGGTGGCATTAGTTGTCTGCTTTAGAAAAACTGTATCACACTATCTTAACATTTTGCATATTGTGTTACTCCTTCAACACTGTCTTTTGGAAATCCTTTCAAATCAGCTATACATGATTAAACTCTTTTTAGTGGCTGCATAATATTGCATGTTGTGGATTTTACAAATTACCTTGGCTTCCACGCTGTTTCAGTTCTTAACAGGGGCAATTTCTAAAGACATTTTGGCTTTATTATGATTAGAAGAGGAGTTCTTCTGACGTCTAGTTGGTAGAGGCCTCAAATGCTGCTGAACATCTCACAATTACACAGGTCAGACCCCTAATTAATTAGACTGTTCCAAATGTCATTAGCAACCAGGTTGAGACACCTTCTAACCCCAGGCTGATCTAGCTCTGGAACATTCTTTCCTTAGGTACCAACAGGTCACTTCCTCATACCTCCTTCAGGTCTCTTGTTGACTGGTGTTTTTCTGTGCAGGGTCTAATGTGACCAGCCTATTTGCATGGCCACTCTCCCAACTCGAAGGCACACGCCTATCTTCTGGCTTTCATATTTCTATATACTCTGTTCCTCTCTTTTTCTCCCCTTAACTTCTAACAAGCTGTCTAATTTATTTATTTAGTATGTTTATCCATTATCTTTTCCCTCCTTCTATAATGTAAGCTGTACTGTGACAGGGATTTATGCCTATTTTATTCACTGATGCATCCACAGGGCCTGGCCAAGTGCCTGGCATTTGATAAACAGCTAAGTGAATGAAGGAGGGAACACATACATGATCATATAACAGGCATTCATTTATTTCCCATTATTTCTGCTAAAAGCATTGCTGACTTAAATACACTCATATAAGTCACTATGTGTTGGTCCTTCTGTGTCCAAGAGGCCAAAATGCTTTCTAAATTGGATTTAGAGCTGACTTCCAGGTTTTAAAAGTTGACTTATATGTCAAAGAGGCCAAAATGGTTTCCAAATTGCATTTAGGAGGTTTTAAAATATCCTGCTCTAAATTACACACAATTTACTGTTTCTTGCAAGAATTTTCTTGTTTTTGTTACATTTATGTCTTTATCTAGATTTTATTGCTGTATGTGATATAAAACTGGGATTTAATTCTAAGTCCTTCCAGGTGGATAACTAGATACAACAGCACCAGACTGTATCATCCATCTTTTCCCGTATCTACTTTGTTATATACTAAATCCTTCTAATTACTGATCTTAGTTTCTTCATTCTCTACCTGTTCAACTTATACTATACACAAACTTCATGTTTTTAAGGGAAACAAAAACTTGTGAAAGGAAAGGGAGATACAACATGGTAAGTTAAAGGGAGTTAGAATGTTTAGTTCAAAGGTTAATTCTACCAGGCATAAAAAGAAGAGCTGGTACCGATTCTACCATTCTAAAAATTCAAGGAGGAGGGACTTCTCCCTAACTCATTCTATGAAGCCAGCATTACCCTGATACTAAAATATGGCAAAGCCATAGTGAAAAAAGAAAACTGCAGGCCAATATCCTTGATAAACATAGACACAAAAATCCTCAGCAAAATACTAGCAAACCAAATCCAGCATCATATCAAAAAGTTAATTCACCAAACCCCAGTAGGGCTCATTCCTAGGATGCAAGGTTGGTTCACCATATGCAAATCAATACATGTGACTCACCATATAAAAGGAATTCTGGAAAATCTTTAAAACAGAATGAATGCCATACTGTAACTGAAGAGCATGATACATTCAATCTGCCTGGAATAAATAATAAAATAAATGTGCTCTTTTCACTAGTCACATAATGGCTAGGACAATCTTTTGAGAGTTATTTAAATTCTGCACAATCTTGTTCTCTTTTTTTTACTGTGCATATGCTTCAACTGTTTTGAAGAATATTATATTGGTTAGGGTCCTGAGAAACGGAATCAATAGGATGTGTGTACATACAAAAGGAGATTTATTATATGGAACTGGCTCACGAAGTTATGAAGGCTGCCAAGTCCAATATCTGCAGGGTGGACTATCAGGCTGGAGAACCATGAAAGCCCACGGTGCAGATGAAATCTGAAGACATTCTCTTGGGGATCCTTCTTGCTGCATCACTGGTGTTTTTTGTTCTATTCAGTCTTTCGACTGACTGGGTGAGGCCACATTAATAAGGGCAAACCACTTTACTCAAAGCTCATCAATTTAAATGCGGATCTCATCCAAAACACCTCCAATCTGACAGATGAAATTAGCCATCACAAATATCTTAGATATTTTTTATCCCTAATAAAAGCTAGATTTCTAAGATAATAAAAGTTCTGAGTCAGTAGGACTTTTTTTAAAGAGTAAATAAGACTACAAGCTTACCCGTACTTTGAGTCTATTAACTGTGAAGCCATTAAAGATTGCATAATCTGAAATCACAGGGCAGAAAGCAAAACTTTTAAAGATTGTGTTGATACTCATTCATTCCATTACCACTTACCATTTTACACCTTGGCTTCTGTTCTTCAAAATGATGGGAATCAAAGTGGTGGTCAGCCATTGCACTGTTGTGATTGGCCACTGTCACAACAGGATAACCGTTAGCATTACCAGTTGTATATCTTTGCTTACTGCAATCATTAATCTGAATGCCACCCACTCACCCTTCCCCAGTTGGGGAACTGAATGACACCCTTAGGGTAGAGTAAGTAAAATCTGTGAGTTTCTTAAAATGTGAGTCATGGGCTTCTTTGTCGTAGCAGTGTCAGGTCTGGGTCTATTTAGTAATTCAGAGTTTGCAATAAAAGGGACTAGTCCTCCTTCCATAAAACCTACTGAGTTCTGTCCCCACATACACATAAGGAAGGCACACTGACATTCACACATATTGTTAAAGCAGGATTCCAGATGAGTGGATTTCTTGGTCTGGGGTTGGCTACTAGATTTACCTGGTGTGTGATCAGAGTCTGGAATCAATGCTTTGGCAGGAATACTGCTGCCAATGGCCCAGTCCAAGTCATCCTCAGAGTCTTGAGTAAGACTGCAGGCTGTGGTCCAGTTTCCTGGACTTGTTTCAAAATTGCAGCTTCCTGTTGTGCTTGTATACAGTGCTGGGGAAGGAAAAACAGTAATGGGAATTTCTGGAAATATCTATCACATTTATTATTACCTTACATTTGGGATCACTTAAAAGTAGTATCTGCATATTCTAATTCTTTATAAATACATTTACAGCAACAAGACATTTGTACTTACTGGTAATATCAGCTATACACGGTAACATTTTAATTGAAGGATCTAGAAGCAGTATATGAGCGTTATCATTTATCCATTAAGGAGTTATACAGATTGATGAATATTTATAGCTAATAGATAAAACTGTGTTTACACATGAACAATGAACATAACATTATGCTAATAGGGATTATTCAGGTCAAATAAATAAACAGCTTCAGTTGTCTGGATGTTTAACTCGCTTCCTTCTCTTACTGTGATGTTTGAATAGCATAGCTGATTAGTGACACAAAGTCATTTACTAAAGAAAAGGCACTTTGAGAGAAGTAGTAAACCGTATAGGACACAAAAACTCTCGGATATCGTACTAATCAGTGCAGCATCACATATCACAGCTAATCACTAAATAAATTCTATTCTAAAAGTGTTGATTGATAACTCGTTAGAAATTAAATTATTCACAATGAGAAAAATTAATAGATAATAACTGTGTCTACTTTTAATCATCTGTGAAAAGTACTATCATGATACCCTGATCTAGGCTTTCATTTTTCTTTCTCTTTTTTGTGCATCAGTTATTACTTTTGAGCACTCACTGTAAAATAGGACTGTGTTGTACAGGCAGAATGAATAATTGGGTGATTTAATCAGCATGAATCAATTGAGATTGTCATTGGCTTTTTCTTTCTTTTTAGAAAGATAAAGTTTGTATTATTTTTAAAATTTCCTCTCATTCACAACTTTCCCTTAACATACAACCAATGTTAGCATATAGAAACATATCAGAAAAAAGAAAATAGATACTAAATATATAGGAAGCAAAGTTTTAATATTTCTATATAAAACTTTCTTGATCCTTGAGAATATTTAAATAAAATATTAGCATTTCACTTAAATAAAATAAATGCATTATACTCAAGCATTATTGCATCTTATCCCTACAAATTATAATTATTTTTATTCATATACATTCCTTTCATTCATTCTATATGACTATATAATCTATTGCTTCTTGTATGCTTATTTATGGGCTCTGCATGGCTTTTTTGTGCTTTTTATGCCAGCATTATATGATATAGAACAGGTCTTTATGATATAATATGGATAAAGTAAATGAGAGATTCCATTCTCCCAGCATTTAGCCAACACATCTATAAACATTCAGAATCTTGCAATGGACATAAAAGACAGCCGTTACGTGTTCTTTAGAATGATGTTACCTGCACATTCTGTACTAGAGTGTTCTATGTAAGTGACTCCCTGACATACAACCCTACAATATCTATTCTACATCCTTTTCTATTCTCTGTGATCATCCTTGTACCCCCTGTCCCGCCTTGTGTAACATATAACTTTATCTTTGATGTTAAAGATACTTATATGATCAGGATAAACTCTCTTACATTTTGTTCTCTCAATCTCAAAATATGCCACTTTTCTCTTCCCTAGGGCTAATCTCTGTTTGTGATGTGAAGATGTGACGTTTTCATGAACAATATCCAGAAAGCAATTTTCCAAGTTTCTTGCTTTCTCCCTCTTTCAGGGATACCAATGATTCATAAATGCGCCTTATTTATATAATCCCATATTTCTCAGATTCTGTTCATTCCTTTTTTTTTTTCTTTATTCTTTTCTAACAATATTATTACAGTAAGCCAGTCTTCAAGCTCTGTGATTCTTTCCTCAGCTTGCTCTATTTTGGTGCTAATACTTAGGATTACATTGCAAAAGTTTTGTAGTATGTTTTTCAGCTCCATTAGGTCAGTTAGGTTCTTTTTTATACTGAATGTTTCATCTGTCAGCTCCTGCATCATTTTATTATTATTATTAGCTTCTTTGTATTGGGTTTCAATGTCCTCCTGAATCTCCATAATATTTGTTCCTACATATATTCTGCCATTTCAGCCATCTCACCTGGTTAAGAACCCTCGCTGCAGAACTAGTGTAGTCCTTAAGAGAACATAATACACTCTGGCCATTTGAGTTGCCAGAGTTCTTTCATTGAGTTCATCATTTATCTTTCACAAATAAATCTTTCTTATTTATGTGTGCAGATATTCCTTTAACTTCAGTGTAGATCCAGTACAGTCATTAGAATTCTCTCAAGGATGTTTCCAGAGGACTGAGGATTTGTTCGGGGTCTTCATTTGTAACTGACTTCTTGTCTTTCATGGTTTCATGGAGGGTATGTTAGCAAAGTATGTTTCGTACTGAAGTTATTGAGTATAATCCAGCAGGTGGCATTAAGTGCAGTGGTCAGTAGGTAGGCTCTTAACCATGTGGCTCCTCTATACTTCCTCACAGTTGCAGCTGTGCTCCCTCTTAATGCTCTGAATGTGTGGGCTCCTGTCTCACCTGAGTGCTGGCTGCAGTTTATGGGCTTAAATTTGTCCAAAATTTTACTATTTTGTGGGTGATTATTAAATGCTCTACTTAGTACTTCTTGCGGGGAAAATGATTATTTCACAAGTGTTGTAGAGCCCTTTTTAAAAAAATTCCATTGAAATTAATTCCTTACAGTAAGTATTTTTAAAATACATTTTTTGGTAAAGTTACAAGAAGCTAGAAATAACACTAGAACGTGTTATTCAATGCACTATAAGTTTTATTTGAGAATTTATGTATTATGAAAGGAATACATGATATTTTATAAAATTAATATTATAATTCTATGGTATTAGTAATACACTCTTAAGATGAGTTGATTGTTTTGACTTTTTAAAAACACTTGCATTTAAATTATGGAATGAACCTGGAAGACATTATGGCAAGTGAAATAAGCCAGTCACAGAAAAGACAAATACTATATGACTCCACTTATGTGAGGTACCTAGAGTAGAAATGAAAGATCTTTTATAGAGATGAAAAGGAGAATGGTGGTTACCATGGTCTTAGGGAAGGGGTAAATGGAGTGTTACTGTTATTGTTTGGGAATGGATGTACAACAATACAAATGTACTTAAAGCTACTAAGTTATACATTTTAAATGTTTAAAATGGTAAATTTTGTATTATGTATATTTTACCACAGCTTTTTAAGTTTAAAAAATACATTAAATTGTTAAATAGAAAATGGGCCCACTGGAAGCATCAGTATAAGATCCTAAGAAACAAAGATTGCATTGAGCTATAGAATAAAAATGTAAATATGCTTGTGTGGTAGTTTGTCTCCAAAAAGGTCACCCTTCGACCTTCTCTACATTTGATGTGTGACATTTTCCCATTGAGAGGTGAAGTCTATTCCTTTTTCTCTTTGAATCTACTCTAGACTTCATTATTTGCTTGGCACTAGCGGGAATTGGGTATGGTATTATGGAATATCTGAGGCTAAATCAAAATAACTCTTGCTATTTTTCCTGGGGGTCTTGGGATGCTTTCTAGTAGAAGCCAGTCCCATGTACAATGGCTTACCATCCTGTGGCTGCCATAATATGTACAGACCAAGCCACATGGAGCACTCTGGAGGAAGAGACAGCATCTCTAGCAAGACAGAGAGACCAAACAGCATCAAGGGAAGAAGTCATCTTGGATGTGATTATCCAGTTCCACCCTATCAGTTCGAGTCAGGCCATTTAGACATAAACTGTCCAGCAGTACCCTTCCTGGATTACTGACCAAAAAAATTGTGAGCAAAATGTAACAGTGGCTTAGACCACTAACTTCTGGGAAAGCTTGTTACACAGCAAATGGTAACTACAACAGGTAGCTTGTATGGTATCAATATTCTCTAGGAAAGCTCTTCAACAAGATACATGGAAAAAATATCCTTTGAGTTTAAATATGTGCTCATATTTTAAAATTATATCCTTAGTTTTATACGTGAGTTTTAAAACATTGCTTGAATTAAACCTTGAATAAAAATCCACTAGGGCCATCCAGTCTGCTTTTTCCCATACAATGTAATTGATAAAATTAATTACTAAATTGGCATTTATTAGAAGTGCTCATTTTCAGCCACATACATAAAATCAACAATTCTGGGGGAAAAACAGAAGAAAAATGAAGACCAACAAAGAAAGATTGCTACTGCAGTTTCTGTAAACTCTAATTCTAACCCTACACATGGTGCTGCCTAATTACGGAAAGGGATTATTTTTTGGTAAAATGATTTACTACAGACTTGTTACAGTTCTCAGTACAGGAGTAAAGAATATGAAAGCGCTGCCACTTGTATTTGTATTTGATGCTTGTATACAAATCTGAGGAAGTATTGGGGGTATTCTAAATCTACTCTAGTGCATGAAAATAATAGTTCTTTTCCATCATCAATGCCAATATATAACTCTACTTATAAAGGAAAATCTCTGCTGAACTGGCTTCCACACGGCAGATAGATTAACTTACCACAGTGAGCCTCATCAGACCTATCAGAGCAGTCTGGTTTATAGTCACAAACAAGGTGGGATGCAATACACTTCTTGTCCCGGCACAAAAAATCAGTGGTTTCCAGACAAACCTCAGAGATCTCTCCCACTAGGGAAAAACAAACAAACAAAAAACAAAAACAAAAGTAGTATTTAGTTAGTATTTTCATTAAACGTGAAGATTCCTGTCAGGCGTTTTATGGATTTCACACTATTAAGCAAGTTAAGGATTTCAACAGTTGCCTGAGGTAGACTTCCCCAGCTTCCCCACCTTCAGCAAGTTACACAGATTCTACTTCTGAAATATCTTTGATGCACTTTGATGGTGCTGAAAATCTCCTTGCCTGTGATTCCCACGAATGAGATGCTCAAGTTCGTGGCTTGCCACTACCTGGAGCCTAGTAAAGGATGTGTGCAGCCTGCCACCAAATCCTGCTCATTCTCGGCATGCACCGATGGGATTTTCTGGCCATTTGTGCTGCTCATAATCCTGGTGATCTGGGTCTATAGCACAGTCACTAACTTTATCAATATGTTCCCGTCTTGACTGACAATTTTCCATAAAGAAGATGTTTAACTGAATTAATTTTTTATTGTTTAAAGTAACTGTCTATTTCTGCTGAATTTTCACATGAACATACTGGCTGGTCATGGAGGTTTCACACTCTAGATTTTATTTTGCTTTTTCTGACTCCCATGGGGCAAGATTTTCCTTTTTAATACACATAATTAAAATGTCCATTGACAAGTACATAGAACTAATGCAATTTTATGCAAATTTTTTTGTAGATGAAAAAGCATGGACAGTGTTTAATACTCATCCTGGTATAAAAAATAGTTGAGCCAGGAGACATTGCCAGCAAATTAATTGGCAGCAGATTTTAGGAAATGAATGTGTGTGTGTGAGTTTTTTTTCTAAAACTAAATGGCATGTACTGTGTCTTTTGCATGATGATCTGAATTTAATTTCACAATCTCATTTTTATTCATAAGCCAATTTTTCTGCACTGAGCAGAGTCCTGCTACCTCGGTCAGTATTGTTTTGATTTGCCATTTCCCTCACTCACCTCGGCCTCTCTTCACTGCTCTCCCACCCTACCCTCACCCCCGTTCTGTTTGACTCCTTCTGCAGGATTTTGATGGCTCCTTCTGTTTACATCACTTTAAAGGAGAGGTATGCCTGTACTCGCTTGTGCAGAAAACATCGCCCCAGATTCAATCGACTGGGTTTATGTTCTTTCACATGGTTTTTAAGGTTATTTAATGTCTAATGTATTTTATTGTAACAGACATTGTTTTGCCAACATTGTCTATTTTGGTGGCACGTCATGATCTAGTTTAAAAAGGAAAATCAAACATTATAAATGGACAAAGGAAAAAAAAAGATACAAATTTTTTCTTTCAAAATTGAGATTTTATTGGTTGAGGGTCAGTACAGACACTTCAATTTATACACAATTCTTAACACACGTGCCAAAAATCTAAACGGCTACATATTGTAATTCTTTTTCGAAGTTATTCCAGTGACTTTCCAGCTTAAAATTTGGAAGCAATTTTTCCTTAAGGGGTTATCAAGTACCAGTATCATCACATGTTGATAAGCTGTTATGTACACCCCACCAATTCACAGCTGACGTGCATATAAACTACATATTCAAATATTTGATCTTTCACAGCACAGTAACAAAGTTATTAGGAAAACAGGACTACCACAACCAAAGAGAGTACAGAGTGCCCATAATTCTGACAGGGAGAGTCATGATCAAGGAGTTTTCTTTCTTTAGGAAACAATTCTACTATAAAACAACATGGAAGTAGAAGGAAGTTAAAGACATTAAATGCAGGACTGTGACTCCATATTGCCATTTAACATGGTTTGTATTATAGGATATAAAAACTAACTCCCCATCTATGGAATGTTAAGCTGACACCCAAGACAGAGCATCCCATAATTCAATATTCCACAATATTCTGTGGTTGTACCAAAAAATAAATAACTAGCAAATGATTTCAGGTCTTAAAAAAAAAAAAAAGCATTTACACTTAAAAAAAGAGGATGAGATGGTATTTCATCCTTCTTAAAAATGTTTCTGGAGTTACTAAAAAACTCACATTTACAAAATAGTTGATACAAATGTTCCTCTGGATTGTAAAGAAGGGAGACAGGGACCACTGATAAGACATGGTATATGGTATTAATCAGACTTGGCTTCTTTCTCTTCCTCTTCATCAGAGGCTGGAATCTCCTCAGTTTTCATTTCCCGGTTTTGGGCAGGTAACTCTTCTTCAGTTTCTTGGTCAGCCACTTCGGCCTGTTTTCCTCTTGCTCCCCTTTTCCCTTTTGTTTGCACCTGTCTGAAGATGCTTCCTTCCCTGCTGCCTTTTTCAGCTTTGCTTTCACTTTTTGCAGGAGCAGGTGTAGCTGACAACCACACTGATCTCCTCTTGGGCTCTTCCTTAGCGGCCCTTAGGCTGGGTTGACCTTCCTCTTGGATACCCTGGTACTTACGGGGTGTGTGGCGCTGCTGCTCCTCCGCTTCGGAGCTGCTGAGACCCCTGGCAGGGGATGGTGGGAGAACTGGGGGGAACTGGATTGGGAGCCCGCCTTCTACTTCCTCAACCACCCCCCAACACCTGCCTTTTTTTTCAGTATACAGGATCTTAATAACCCATGTCATAACCCAAACCACTTCTTAGAAAATGCAAAATATTCTCAACAGAAATCTTAACTCTGCAGGAAGGTCATTCATGAGAGTTGGCTGAGATTGCACCACTGCACTCCAGCCTGTGACAGAGCGAGACTTCATCTCGAAAAAACAAACAAACAAACAGATAAATAAATAAATAAATACCATTTGACCCAGCAATCTCATTACTGGGTATATACCCAAAGGATTATAAATAATTCTATTATAAAGACACATGCACACATATGTTTACTGTGGCACTATTCATAATAGCAAAGACTTGGAACCAACCAAAATGTCCATCAACAATAGACTGGATAAAGAAAATGTGGCACATGCATACCATGGAATACTATGCAGCCATTACAAAGGATGGGTTCACGTCCTTTGCAGGGACATGGACAAAGCTGGAAACCATCATTCCCAGCACACTGACAAAAGAACAGAAAACCAAACGCTGCATTCTCACTCATAAGTGGGTGTTGAACAATGAGAACACATCGACACAGGCAGGGGACATGACACTCCAGGGCCTGTTGGGGTAAGGGGAGTTAGGATAGCAGGGGCTTGGGGGATAGAGGAGTGTAGCATTAGGAGAAATACATAATGTAGATGATGGGGTGATGGATGCAGGAAATCCCCGCGGCATGTGTATACCTATGTAACAAACCTGCATGTCCTGCACATGTACCCCAGAATTTAAAGTATAATTAAGAAATAATAAATAGATGAGAATTTTTAAAATTTTCTTAAAAAGAAAAGAAAATTTAATTCAGTAAGAACATAAGATATATATAGGAGTAATATACTGTGGATTTAAACAAACTCTCACCAACCTGCAAGTGACACCAATTGAAAACTAGTTTCGTTGTACTTTGAAAAAGAATTTACAAACAGGTCCTTGACCTATAAATTTCAATTTGGATTAAAATCATTTTGTACACAGAGCTCATTACACTAAACTAGATATAAGCATTCTGTATATAATATTCATGAAGAAACACTTGTTGTTTTATTACTTTATTAAGCGGATAACATTCAATATGCCCTGAGATTTCAGACTGCAAGTTTCACATGGGCATGCATTTCTAAGCACCTTTGTTTTTCAGGTAACCACATGGAGAATATTAAACATATAATGGGCATAATCCCTACTTTTGAAGACCGTATTATTTAGTTGACAAATTCCGTCGATTTGGGAATCAACAGAAAAGAAACAATTAGGGTTTCCAAGGCTCCTATGTATGTATGGAAGACCTAGTGAAATGCCAAGTACAAGAGAAATTTCCCATGGAATACTGTGAGTCAGGAAACATATCTAAGGAAAGTCCTAAGCAAGTAAACATCTAGATGCACTGAAGGTATGAAATAAGTTTACACCACAACAAAGAATTTTAACTATCATTGACTACTTACAGGTATTCATGAGTAGGAGAAAAAAAAATACCTGATCAGACTTACACAGGTATGTTGTTCTGTGAAGTACTGAGAAACTAAGTCTTTTGGTTCTGAAAATGCAGACTGCCATTTGATTTAATGCGATAAGTAAATGGAAATCTCTGAGTTTTAAAAACATTATTATAATAAGAATTTAAATACATTATAATGTAGAGAAGAAAAAACAAGAAACAATCTCTCCTTCTTTACACAATGCCTTTAACATATAGCCACATTTTTCTTTTTAAATTTTTTGTAACTAGGTTATACACTTGTAATCATAACATATACACACTATTTTCTCTACCGTTTAATATGTATATCATAAATATTTTGTTGTTTGATTTTCATAGTAACCACTAATATCTATAAAATATAATGAAAACTGAATATATCCTTAATTTGGTTAACAATTCCATTAATACATTATTATAGAGTTTTTACATTATTTTACATTTAAACAAAACTACATTTAGCTTCTTCATAATTGGAAGTATTTATTTAAGACAGATTCCTAAAATGCCATTATTGGGTATTAATGGATTCGTGTCTTCTAGGACTTTGGATATCTATCAATACAATTAATAGCTTTTCTAAAAAGCTATGCTGATTTATTATTTTTTTAAAAAAATTTAATTTCAATAGCTTTAGGGGTGAAAATGGTTTTGGTTACATGATGAACTGTATAGTGGTAAAGTCTGGGCTTTTGGTGCAACTATAACACAAATAGAGTACATTGTGCCCATCAGGTAGTTTTGCATCCCTCGACCTACTCTCAGCCTCCCTCCTTCTGAGTTTCCAATGTTTTTTATACCACTCTGTATGCCACTCCGTATACCCATAGCTTAGCTCCCTCTTATAAGTGAGAACATGCAGTATTTGGTTTTCCATTCCTGAGTTACTTCCCTTAGGACAATGGTGTCCGGTTCCATCCAAGTTGCTGCAAAAGACATTATTTCATTATTTTGTACACCTGGTAGTATTT